TCTTCAAACTCGCATTGGTCTCGACGCGGCAGTGGCAGATTTCGAATTGTCTGTGAACAACGCTTTCCGCGCAGCCACAACCAGGACAGAGTGTCCTCTGCGGAGCTACAATGAGTTTCCTCCCAGGATAAAGAACCTTATCCGGGAGAGAAATCGGCTCAGACGAGTTTATCAGCGGACTCTCTACCCTGAAGACAAGGCTGCGGCTAGCAGGATAGCCAACCAACAGGCCATCACTGACTATAGAAACGAGAGGTGGAGCGAGTGTTTGGAATCGCTTTAACCTGGGGATGGCGAGCTCTGGCGAGTCATCCGCAGGCTCGAGAAGAGAAAAACCGCTCCCTCCCCTCTTCACGGACAGCGCGGCATCTGCTACTCCCCCACCGAAAAGACGTTGGCCTTTGCAGACACAATGAAGAATCAGTTTCGACTTAACGTTGATCCGGATGATGATATTGACCGTGATATCCGGCTGGAACACCGGGTTCGGCGCATCCTTAGGGAAAATGATGACGACGTGATCCATCCAGCTTCGGAAGAACTGAAGGGGTACATTAGGGCCTCCAAACCCAAGAAGGCTTCAACAACAGATTGTTGAAGCAGCTTCCGGAGAACTTCATCAGATACCTGCTGGACATTATCAACAGCTCAATCACTCTGAGATACTTCCCTCGAAGATGGAAACATGCCGTAGTTGTCATGATTCCGAAACAGGGCCAGGACCTGCTGTTTCCCCCGAATCATCGTCCGATTAGTCTGCTTTGTTCAACGGCTAAGTTGGCTGAACGTGTTGTGCTGCAAAGGCTAACAGAAGAAGTTGAAGACCGAAATGTTCTGCCTGACGAACAATTCGGCTTCAGGAGGGCACACTCCACCGAGCTGCAGGCCCTGAGACTGGTCGAAAATTCCATCTCAGAACTGAACAACAGGAAGACAGTCCATCTCGTCCTCCTGGATATTTCGAAAGCCTTCGACCGAGTCTGGCACGAAGGCCTGCTACACAAAATGCTCGATTTCGATCTGCCTCGGGGTCTGGTCCGGTGGATTATAGGTCATTTCTGAAAGGCAGAACATTTCAGGTCCGAGTTGAAGGAATCCTGTCTCCCGTCAGGGAAATCGAAGCTGTACAGCAATTCAATGTTCATGCGAAAGTAGTTGTTTCGAGAGGGTGTTTTCTTCCAGTTTGTCTGATCTATACATCTTTGTTGATTCAGATTCAGAGTTATGAATTAGCCTACTTTATCTTCTGAAGACGACTTGGTTGATGAAACATGCGTCAAGAAGAGTGTTGCAGTTCTGGTGGTTGGAATCAGTGCTTGTTTTCAAAATGTCTAATGTTCAAGTTGCTGTAAATGAAATATATTAAGTGGCCAAGAGAGTGAATAAACCACTTGATTGAAATTCAAATGTCCTCATTAGTTTCAGTTTGATATTTTATTGTAGTTGCTGTTTTGACACACCTCATTAAACAATTTTGACCTAATAAATTCCGTGAATGAACTCCAATTGTTCTATTAGCTCCTTTTGTTTATCGTGCCGTTCAGTAAAGTTTAAACGAGTTTTTTTCAACACGAAAATACAAATATTTTGATTTCAAACACGAAAAAGCAGAAAGTCAATATTTCCATAACTGATTGGAAAATCTATTCCCGTCGCTCGGTTGAGTGAAGGCCCCACGACGTCTGTTAAAATGAACAGTTTGTTCATCAAATACCCCAGTCAGGAAGGGGTACACAAGGCCAGAGCGGCATAGAGGTCATTGACCTTTATGTCGCCACCAAAACACCTTACGTTATGAACCATTCGTCCTCCTGACGAATCTCAGTTGAAAGGGTAAGGGAAAAAAATTTCAAACCTGATGAAAATGAAGATGACTATAATAGACAAAGTGTGAAACAAATGGTGCGAGTCTCAAGGTCAAACGCAATGTTGCCGAGTCGTCTAATATCCTCCTCCAACCGGTTGGACGACACTAACTTGCTCAGTTAGGCCACTTGACAATCTGCCGCTCATCGAAAAAATAGTGAGCGTTTCAATCAAACACTTATTGTTTAACTAATTATCTATAAATTCATTTTCATTTCAGGTCACATTAATTTGTTTTCTTCACAAATTAGCTTTCTTGCTATTTTTACTACTCCTATTTGCTCATATTTTGACATTATTTTTATATTTAACTAACTCAACTGAATTTTTTGGTCCCATTATTTTTATCAATTCAGTAATTTTAATATTTAAATTCAATTCCATTTCATTATTTCCTTTCTAGATTTCTAACCTGTTAACACCTTTTTAGACAATGGAAGTCCGAACTTATAACATTCACTAAGTTAACATTATCGGGAACCTTTCGAAGAAAATTTTTGGACAATTTCCAATCGAAATCACTGATGTCTGTCTAAATGTAATGGAAATGTATGGAAATATTGTAAAATATGAAAATTCTAGAGAACAAAGGCTGTTTTGGTTTCTACTTCTCCATTTTTATTGGGGAAACTTTGAATAAAATCAAATAACCGGTTGAATGATGACGCCTCATCGGAGACATAATGTTGTGCAAAAAATGCGTGTGTTCTCGGCTTCAAAAGTTTAAATAGGTGCTGATGAGGTTTTTTTTAAAGGACAAAACACAAGCACTACAGAAAAATATTTAAGGTGCTCTCATAGCGGTGCCTGTGCGAAAGTAGCGATTCACATTGGTTTCTTCTTTCTTCCTTTCTTTGGAAAATTCCCACATTTTTTTTTTGTATCAAGATTGAGAAGTATAAAGCCAAAACCTTTCTTTCTCAACGTAGTTGTTTCTGAAGGACTTTTTCTCTCAAGCAATTCAATGTTCATGCGAAAGTAGTTGTTTCGAGAGGGTGTTTTCTTCCAGTTTTTCTGATCTATACATCTTTGTTGATTCAGATTCAGAGTTATGAATTAGCCTACTTTATCTTCTGAAGACGACTTGGTTGATGAAACATGCGTCAAGAAGAGTGTTGCAGTTCTGGTGGTTGGAATCAGTGCTTGTTTTCAAAATGTCTAATGTTCAAGTTGCTGTAAATGAAATATATTAAGTGGCCAAGAGAGTGAATAAACCACTTGATTGAAATTCAAATGTCCTCATTAGTTTCAGTTTGATATTTTATTGTAGTTGCTGTTTTGACACACCTCATTAAACAATTTTGACCTAATAAATTCCGTGAATGAACTCCAATTGTTCTATTAGCTCCTTTTGTTTATCGTGCCGTTCAGTAAAGTTTAAACGAGTTTTTTTCAACACGAAAATACAAATATTTTGATTTCAAACACGAAAAAGCAGAAAGTCAATATTTCCATAACTGATTGGAAAATCTATAATGAAATCCGGATGCGATGTGGATTATGTATTTATGATATATATAGAATATGTGTATTGTATAACATATGATGTGAAAATATGCATAAACTGTACATGTACATATATGTACAAAATAAATTACTTTCCTATAAAAAAATATTGTTTTTTTTATTCTGGTTCCATTAAAATGGATAAGTCATCCAAAATACTAAGTGCTCCATTTGGCAACATCGGTTATAGCTAATAAAGGACAATGAATCTGTTACCTGTATGAGACAAACAAAGATGACATATTTCAGAGGCGTGCTTTTCTGTTTACTTATGTTCGGAGTTCCGAGACATTCTGTGACATATGACATTTTGTGCACCTAACCTATCTTCCTCTATATAAATAAATGACAAAACAACTGTTGTTTATGTGGCTTGTGAAGGTGGTATTGAACTATAATTTATATTTTGCTTTAATTGTTGATTTATAAAGATAATTTTCCTTTTTTAAAGTCGAATATCTAGTTACGTATAAATTATTTCAAGTTGATATAGGCGCTGTTGCCAATATGTGAATTAGAAATAAATCCCTTTAAAAATTAAAACCCAACAAACCCATATAACGTATTCAAGTAACACTTTATTGATATTTTCACTGAAAGGTTTACCAAACCGCAGCACGTGTTTCCCTATACAATACCTTCCTCAGGCGTGTTCATACTGCCACGCTTTTTCGGTAAATAATAATGAGATATTCACTTTCCATTCAACACATTCAACATCATCATAACATAACATTGACAGAATATAATTATACATGCTCTTGGGATCTTTAGGGTTCTGTTATAAATTAACTCCTCGAATTATCTAATTTTAATTGTCACAATATGCTCGAATTTTATGCTTGAATTATAATAAATAATATATGAATAATTTCAAATATACCGTATCGGGTAAGGATTGTTTGGAGCACAACAACTCTTGATAGAAGGAAGGATAACAATTATATTCATTAACTGATGATGATGAACTATATACACATTATTATGCAGTTCATAATTCCAATTTTTCTTCAATATTCGGAATTTCAGGCTGAATACCTATCTTGAAAATGAAAAATAAAAAATGTATCACAGCCATTGTATAATAACAGACTAATAATCTAGTTCACCTAGGTAATTGATCAGTACCTATAGTAAATGTTGAGGAAACCGAAGAGTGGTGAATAATTTTCTATCAACCAATCTTCAGTTGTCTTTCTTCATAGAGTGACAGCCAAAATTATATATTCATCAATGTTAAACAAAGAAAGTAAACCGGCGATTAGTTGATAATAATGACTCAAATCTTGGAAAAATGAATCAGACACATATTTATCAACCCTTTGTGTAGCAATATCCCAATGGGTGAACAAAAAAAGGTTGTGGACAGCTGAATGAGTGTTCAAGCTGAGTATTTGACATAATAAAATATTTCAAATCTTCTCAATTATTAGATACACTGAAAAATCTCTGAACTGAGGGAGAGTTGTAAATAATTTGTAACCATTCAATGACTGCATTTTTATTAGTGGAACTTAAAAAAGTAGGAGCATACCTCTAAAATTGTGAACAACACATTGCAGATGGATTGTTCGCTACTTTTAAGAAACAGTCCATGGTATAAAATGAAAAAAACTTTTTTTGCTTACCTTAGACATTGTTCTCGCAAACACTGCACAAATTTGAATGAACTTCAGGTTAACTACACCTGTTTATTACTCTTATCATCGACAAAGATAACATTTTATCATCAGTTTTCCCTTCTTACATGTAACTGCCGGATAAAATGTATCTATAATTTTTAGTAAACAAATAGTAATTAAAAGATTGCGCATACCACAACACAATTTAGGCAACACTTTCCTTGTAAAATGTCACATTCCAAATATTGAATTGTCAAATAGACGAGTTTCAATGTTTCAAAGTGCAAAACGCAAACAACAACAATATTCGGAATCGACACTTAATGTTACTCAACTATTCACGCTGAATATCGACCTTGGCGACGATCGCGACTAACATGTGAACTAAAATCGTAAGGAAACGCAAGACACAGGAAAGAGACTCAACGTTGTTTTCACAAACATTATCAAATTTCTAACGAACAGATTGATTCTGTCACTATTTATTTTGAAAATAAAAATGGCGACATGAATAAATAGCAAACAGTAAATCTCATCAGGTTTTTATAGTTGAATATTTATTCAGCAATGCAATCCAAACATCCGGATACTTAGATTGAATGAATATTGCAATTTTTCTCGCATTAGCAGCTTGTCGATGGTCGCAAGAATGACAATTATTTCCAATTATTTCTGGCAGAGCATCTGAAACAAAATTATGAATACATTTTTAGATTATTTGCTGAGTGAGTGTAAAAGTAGAGTGATAAATTATTTGTGACTATTTTTCTGGCCACATCATCAATTAAAGCAAGTATATTTCACAAATCATAAGTTCAAATCCGCCATCGACTAACTTTTTTCCTCTCGATAATTTATTTGGAGGAAGGGGCATTGATTCTGTCATGTTACATGGCCGAAAGGACTATAGGTAACCTATCCAAAACACAATGCTAATATGACTATAGTTGAGGATGCCGCTGATATCAAAGAAAAAAAGAAAGATGAAATTGTTCCAATATGAAGATACACGTCTTCGGGTGACAATTGGGGATACTAACAATCGAAACATCGTGAATTATAACTTTAGGTCCTGATAAAATACTTTCATTTCTGATAAAGGGTTGCTTGAATGTAGTGTTGAATCCACTACAAATTATTTTCAATCTTATTCTGAAGTCAGTAGTTTTTCCAGAAACTTGGAATTTTTTTTAAAGTTTGTCCAATTCATAAAGCGCAGGATCGTATCGTTATTAGTAACTATATAGGCCAATTACCAACTTTGCAAAGCTTTTGGTGGTGATTATGTACAACCACATTTACCTGTCAACTAGACATATTATTTTCGACCCACAATCAGTAACATGGTTATTTTTGATCAATTTTTGTAAAGCCGTCGACTGTATTATTCATGCGATTCTCATTCACAAACTGTCTAATATGGGTTTCATTGAAATCTATATTCATTTTTGAAAGCATATCTTGATGAAAGAAAGCAGTATATCTACTATATTGGTTTTCCTTCAAATATTTATTTTGCCACCAATGGCGGCCGTCAAGTATCTAATCTTGGGCCATTACTTTTTTTACTGTTCATAAATGATTTATGCAACACATTATACTACAATAGATTAACATTTGCATATGATTTGAAGTTATACACCTGTGTTACCGATAGAGATGAATGTTACTGGAGTTTTAATCCCAACACTAAAACGTTATTTTCAACACCTCGACACGTGTTTCAATCACCAAGTAATCATCTTTAAGAGGAAGATTGTTTAGAGAAGGATTAGTTTAATCCCAACACCAAACCGTTATTTTTAACGTTATTGTTAGAAATAATGGATTGATGTTAGGATTGAAACTCCAGTAACATTCATTACTACACCAAAGGTTCCAAACAGTGCATCACTGTAGCCGGTCGGTTCGACGTGGATGCTTTGTTCACTCACTCGATTCGACCGCCGTGTTGGTCGGTGGTTCAAGCCCCAGACTGAACGATCAATTTTCACTTGCTATCGTCCAACCCGTGATAGGAATCACACGTTAAAAGGTAAGACCTCGTTAGTCTTTAGCTCGCACAAGTTTCGACTTCTGAGGGTTATCGTTCGTAGGGGTGCGACAGCTGGCTAACGGAAAAAAAGATTTTGAACAGACAAATGACTGTACTAGATTGAAACAGCAACACTCTAAATGACTGATGCCGCAAAAAGCGTTTCGATTTAAATTTTTAGAAATGCCAAATTGTATCATTTACCAGAAAATTCAATACAATATCGATAAAACTATCTTAGATAGGACTAACACTATCAGGTTTTATTGTCAAAAATTGTATAAATTTCAATAATATTCTATACCTACTTCCCTATAGCTTGGCTTAGTGAAGTCATAGTAAGAATATGGGTCCTTGATATAAAATCGCATTTATAATCAGTATACAGGGTGTAACTAAATTGAGGAGGTGATTCCTCATCAAAAAAGATAGGATCTTTCATATAAATAAATTTCATTGGAGCATCCCTTGTTAAGATACAGCCCCTTAAAGGGGGTACATGGAATTTGTATAACAATTTTTTTCATAAGCACTAAAAAAGTTACAATATTGAAATTAACCTGACGTTTTGTACTACCAAAAAGACACTTCGCCAGTAATTTATTTGGTTTACCCCATGGTTGTAAGGGGTGGAAAACGCAACCCCTAAAATTAATTTCCAATGTAACTTTTTGTCTTATTATTTGTTTACCATTT